CCCCTCTCCGGCTGCCTGTTTCCGACCCCAGCGGGAAGCCGGGGAGGTGCACGAGGCGGGTCGGCCCTCCCGCCGGCCGCTCGCGGGGTGCCCGCGTTTGTCCGCACGCAGCCCGGACGTTTTCTGGAGTGATAGCCGGTGGCACCTTCGCGACTCCTCCCCAACCTTGCTCCAGAAGCGGCCTTCACCTTCCTAGTCACCCCAATACGCCTGACTGCCGGGCATCCTAGGGGTGTAGGCTTGAAAGAATCCCTGCCCCCGAACTCCGCCACAAAACGGTTGAACCAATAAACAGATACAGTCAACTCAGGGGATACAAGGTCGACATACAAAAGTCAGAAGCCCACTAACAACAAACGATCCGAAAAAGAAATCAAGAAAACAATTCAATTTACAACAGCTACCCCCCCCCCCAAAAAAAAGAATACTTGGGAAGTAATTAAGCCAAGGAGTGAAAAATCTGTAGGTGAAAATGATAAGACATGGATGAAAGGAATTGAAGAAGTCACAGATAAATGGAAATGTATTTCATGCTCACGGATTGGAAAAATTAATATTGTTAAAATGTCCATATTACACAACGTGACCTATATATTCAATGCAGTCCCTAGAAGTAGACCATTTGCAGCATCACCTCCCCCCATTCCAGGAGGACTTCCCAGGGCAAGAGGCTGTGAGATGTATTTGCTTAAATGCTGGTAATGGAGGGATTGTGTATAGAGAAAAGTGAACAGGAAATCAGAGCATTTGACACCCTAGACAGCACAGCAAGACCTTGTCTCTACAAAACAGAAAAATTAGCTGGGCATGGTGGCATGTGCCTGCAGTCCCAGCTACTCAGGAGGCTGAGGTGTAAGGATCTCCTGAGCCCAGGAGGTTGAGGCTGCAGTGAGCTGTGATCATGACATTGCACTCCAGCCTGGCCGACAGAGTGAGACTCCGGCTCCAAACACAACAACAACACCCTTAGCTGGGCGCAGCGGCTCACATCTGTAATCCCAGCACTTTGGGAGGCGGAAACAAGAGGATGGCCTGAGCTCAGGGGTTCAAGACCAGCCTGAGCAACTGGTGGGACCCCGTCTCTACAATAAATTTAAAAAAATCAGCCGGGCGTGGTAGCACATGCCTGTGGTTCCAGCTACTTGGAAGGCTGAGGCAGAAGAATCGCCTGAGCCCAGTAGGTTGAGGCTGCGGTGGCGGTGAGTGTGCCACTGCACTCCAACCTGGGCTACACAGTGAGACTCCGATTCAAATCCCCCCCCAAAACAAAAAGAAAAACAATAACACCCAGAGCATTTGGGATCAGAGTTAGCTTCTTCACGGCTGTGCATCCCCTTTGGCTAAGGCCTCTTCTTTACTGTTTCAGTTTCACTGTATGTAAACTCACCAAATCTTTGAGCTAGACATTTCTGAATTTCATCGCAAAGCTATCTTTCTCTGAGTTCAAGCACTATGGGGCAGAATATGCCTTTGGGGGTCGGATGGGTTTTGTACATATAAAATAATGCATTAACTTAAGTCATCCCGACACTTCCTGGCTTGCGATCACTCTTATACACAGTATAAGGTGTCGCCAGGCTGGGATTGATTGAGCCTTTGGAATTCAAGCCAGGACCTCAGGTAGGCTGAGATGCTTCCTTAATCTCCAGATGCCCCAGAAGTCTCCGCTCTTCGACAGTCCTTCCTTGACACGCAGACTCCTTTTCCACCCCCGGCTCCTGCTTCCCACAGCAACCCCACGGAATGTGCCCGTGGTTTCGTCTCAGCCTTTATCGGTCCTCAAAGGGGCGCCCGAGTAAGGCGGGACAGGGAGCCAGACAGGACTTGGAAGACCGCTCGGCTCCAAGAAGTGGTGCAAGCGCGCACCCTGGTGGAAAACGGCGGAACGACGGCCGCCCAGGTTCGGCTCCGCCTCCCGGGCCAAAGGCCTTCCAGGTCACCTGGGAGTCTTCGCCCAATGGGACGAACCCGACCTGAAGCGGAGGAGGTGGCACTCGGGACCTAGCTGGGGGTCTTGGAAGCAGAGAGGGTGGGGGCATACAGTATTGGGGATCCCAGAAGGGGTGGATGGAAGAGGGGCGGGCGTGTGGGCATGCGTAGGACCCTGGGCCTCTTGGAGAGGGTGGGGTAGCGAGAACACGGTCCTAGGACTGTCCCTCCGGAGCCTGCAGGGTCTGCGCCCGCCTGCTGACCTCAAGCCTGGAGTTTGGGGAGAGAGTGGGTGTCTCCGATTGTGCCCAGCGTGCCTCGAGTGTTCGAGCCGGGCATCCTGGGGCCAGCACCAGTGACCCGTGCATGCCTGTTCGCACGTGTTGGAGAAGGGGCTCCCCAGGGCTGGGCCGTGGCCAGGATTATGGAGAGGTGGCATGGGAGGGACACACCCATCCCCATCTCTCCCCAGATGGCATCGTGGAGTCCTGACACCCCGTGCTCCTGCGACTGCTTTGTCTCTGTGCCCCCGGCCTCGGCCATCCCAGCCGTGATCTTTGCCAAGAACTCGGACCGACCCCGGGACGAGGTGCAGGAGGTGGTGTTTGTACCAGCGGCCACGCACACCCCTGGGAGCCGGCTCCAGGTGGGTTAGGCCTTATGGGGTGCTGGGAGGTGTGGCACATGGAGGCTTTCTCTAAGACCCCTGCTCCCCACACCTGGGAAGCTGCCAGAGGTGGTAGAAAGAGCTCTCAGGTTTATCAACCTGGACCTTGGGCCTTTTTAATATTTTTTTTCTGAGTTGGAGTCTCACTCAGTCACCCAGGCTGGAGTGCAGTGGCACACTCATGGCCATTGCAGCCTCAGATTGCTGGGCTCAGGCAATCCTTCCGTCTCAGCCTTCCAAGTAGCTGGGACCACGGACTTGTGCCACCATGTCCAGCTGAGTTTTGGATTTATTGTAAAGACAAGGTCTCACCGTGTTGCTCAGGCTGGTTTCAAACCACTGAGCTCAGACAATCCTCTCACCTCTGCCTCCCAAAGTGCTGAGATTACAGGTGTGAGCCACCGCACCCAGCTTTAGCCTTTTTTCCCTTTGAGACAAAGTCTCTGCTCTCTTACCCAGGCTGGTATGCAGTGGCATGATCATACCTCACTGCAACCTCCAACTCCTGGACTCAGACGATCCTCCTGCCTCAGCCTCCCAAAGTGCTAAGATTTACAGGCTTAAGCCACTGCACTGGGCAGAGCCTAGTATTTAGCCTCTGTCGGCCTCAGTCCCCTCATCTATAAAATGAGAATAAGACTCTCCTCAAAGAAATGTGGTGTAAGGTGATTGGCAAAGTGCCAGCACGTGTTGGGTGTCTGCCCCCCCTTTCTGAGTGGACTTTTCCTTCCTCCTCCCTCACCTCCAGTGCACCTACATTGAGGTGGAACAAGTGTCGCAGACGCACGCTGTGATTCTGAGCCGCCCTTCTTGGCTGTGGGGGGCTGAGATGGGCGCCAACGAGCATGGTGTCTGCATTGGCAACGAGGCTGTGTGGACCAAGGAGCCAGTTGGGGAGGGGGAAGCCCTGCTGGGCATGGACCTACTCAGGTGTGGACCCTGCCCTTCCCCCCTCCCGTCACACTGGACATCAGGAGGGTGGTTGAATTTTGACCTGGGTCCATCCTCCCCCCCAACCTGGCTCAAGGGGTCTCTCTCTCTCTCTGCTGACCTCGCCCTCCCTGCCCTCACCAAAGGAGGCTGCCCTACCTTTCCCCAACTCTGCAGCCTGACAGGGAGCCTTCAAATGGGGTCACCTTTGGGCCTCTCCTGGCCCAGAAATAGCGGCTTACTTTTTTTTTTCATGATGTAAAAATGTTTTTCTTTTCTTTTTTTTTGAGTTGGAGCCTCACTCTGTCACCCAGGCTGGAGTGCAGTGACACGCTCATGGTTACCGCAGCCTTGACCCGCTGGGCTCAGGTGATCCTTCCGCCTCAGCCTTCCAAGTAGCTAGAACTACAGGCACGTGCCACCATGCCGGGCTTATTTTTTTGATTTATTGTAGAGACAAGGTCTCGCCAAGTTGCTCAGGCTGGTCTTGAACGCCTGAGCTCAGGCAGTCCTCTCGCCTCGGCCTCCCCAAGTGCTAGGATTATAGGTGTGAGTCACTGCACCCGGCCTTATAAAATATTTTTCAGTTGAAATCTCACATGGAGTCCCAATTTGTAGAACCATTAGTGGATCAGCTCCAGCTGCAGGGATGCTAGGGCTCAGGGTACTTGTCTCTCGGAAACGATGTTTCAGGTTTTTCACAGAAGACTCAGAACCAGCTCAAAAGCCACCGGCATCCTTGTATTCAATACCATCAATGCCAGCGGATTTGCTGTGTGGCTTGGGCCTGTCACCAAGCCTCTCTGGGCCTCTTCTGCTACCAGCCACTGATACCTCACTGTCCCTCTGTCCCCTGGCCCCCTCTCTTGCCAGGCTGGCCTTAGAACGGAGCAGCTCCGCCCTGGAGGCCTTACATGTGATCACTGGCTTGCTAGAGCGTTATGGACAGGGGGGCAACTGCCGGGAGGATCCCGAGCCCTTCTGCTACAACAACACCTTCCTGCTGGCTGACTGCACTGAGGCGTGGGTGCTGGAGACGGCCGGGAGGCTGTGGGCTGCACAGAGGATCCAGGGTGAGGGGTCCCAGGGAGGGGACCTGCCTCCCAGAGATATGGGGGCAGGGAGGGGCCCCATCCAGGTGCAAACCTCTTGGCCATTCAGGGAGGTGGACATGAGCCTGCCTAGGAGCTCTCCTCTCCTGTCTTGCATAAGTCCTCAGTCTGCTGTTCCTCCGGGAAGCCTTCCTGACGTTCCTGGTGGCTAACTGTCCCCCTTATTCGCAAGCAGGTGCCTCTTCATCATAGTCACTGCAGCTTAAAGCTTAGTTTGTCTCTGTGACTATTTTGCCCATCTCACCGCCTCCATGTTCTCGGTGCCTCTCCTGGGGTCTGACACAGAGACGGTGCTCAGTGGTAAATGAATGACTCCCCGTCTCCTTCACAGAGGGGTTCCGCAACATCTCCAACCAGCTGAGCATTGGCACAGACATCTCTGCCGAACACTCGGAGCTTCGTGCCCAGGCCCAGGCCCGGGGCTGGTGGGGTGGGCAGGGCACCTTTGACTTTGCCCGGGTCTTTTCCCTGACACAGCAGCCTGTGCGCATGGAGGCTGCCAAGGCCCGCTTCCGGGCTGGCTGGGAGCTGCTGCGTCAACAGCAAGGTCAGTGAGCAGTGGAGGGGGGTCTGGGAGGGCCACACGCGCTCGCCGCTGTCCCGCCCGCTCTTCCCTTCTGCCCTGGCCTCACACTCTTCTCCTTGGCAGGGGCCATCACCGCGGAGGTGATGATGGGCGTCCTCAGGGACAAGGAGAGTGGCATCTGCATGGACTCGGGAGGCTTCCGCACCACAGCCAGCATGGTGTCTGTGCTGCCCAGGGACCCCACACGGCCCTGCGTGCACTTCCTTACGGCCACACCAGACCCGTCCAGGTGAGAATGCAGGTGGGGAAGGGTGGGCCGGTGGGGAGATGAGAGGATGTGACACACCTCAGTCCTTCCGTCCGTGTCCCATAGGTCAGTGTTCAAACCTTTCGTCTTTGGGGCAGGGGTGGCCCAGGCCCCCCAGGTGCTGTCCCCTATTTTTGGAGCCCAGGACCCTGTTCGGACCCTGCCACGATTCCAGGCTAGGGTAGACCGTCGGCACAGCCTCTACCGTGGGCACCAGGTGGCCCTGGAGCTGATGGAGAGTGACCAGGTAACACACAGGGGACAGGGGCTGCCCTGGGGGGACAACCCCCCTAACTCCCAATGGGACTCTGGAAATAGAGAACTTGGGAGCAAAGGAGACCCCAGAGCTTGGGAGAGGGGTCCCCCTTCAACATGAGCTGCTCAGGAGCGTGCTGGGTGCGAGGCAGCAGACAGACTCATCTAGGCTTTCCCCCCTCCACAGGATTGGGGGCAGCAGTTTCGACAGAAGCAGCGGGACCTGGAGCAGGAGGGCCTGGAGGCCGCGCGGGGGCTGCTGGCCGGAGAGTGGGTCCCAACCCCCCAGGAGCTGGGTGGCCTCTTCCAGGCCTTTGTGGAGAGGGAGAGCCAGGTGTATGCCTGAGCACCGCAGCTCCTCCTGCCTGGGGTGGGTGCAGGGTCTGGGGGGAACTGGAGGGTGGGGTCAGAGCAAGCCCTTCACACCCTCATCTGTGTCTGAGGGGCCAGCTCCGACTTTACCCCTAATAAATGTCTTATTTTCTGGTCCGTGAACTTGATATTAGGTCCAGTGGAGGTGGGAGAGAACATGAGGCGCAGGGGCCTATGGTTGACCTGCTGGCAGCAAGTCCTTTGACTTGGGTGATGGGGACCAGACAGGAGGACACGCACTCCCCAACGGCTGTGCGTGAATGGGGTGTGCGTGCATGGAGGCAGCGCTGTGCAGGAGCAGAGCTGGCCTCTGGGGAGAATCTGGGCCAGTCTTTGCTCGCACCCAGGAAGGGCACTTCCTCGGGATGGCAGTGCAATGTGCTCACTGTGAGATGGCATCCTCTGTGCGGCGGTGCCCACTTCCTGCTCTCTCGGGAGCAGGAAGCCCGCAGGTGCTGAGGTGCGCCCGCCCTCTGGGTAGCTCCCAAAAGCTCAGAAGCTTGTCCCTTAGAATTGGGCTGCTCGCTCAGGCGCTGTATTGCTTCCTGGTGCCTTTGCGGTTGTCTCCCCGAGATGCCCAAGTGACACAAAAGGCATATTCAGGGCCCAGAGACATTTTATTGGGAATGGGCTCTTGCCACGGGCCAGGGGTCTGAGAAGGGGGCTGGTCCCTTTCTGCCTGTTTAGATGGGCCGAGAGATAATCATTTCTTGATTCTCTTGGTGGTGGTCTTGGTTGTGCTGAGGGCCCCGATCGCAGAGGCTGTGGGGGCCACAACTGCTCGGGCCCCCTCTGTGGCCTGGACAGAACTTTGCTGACCCCTGGGAACCAGAGGGCACGGTTTCGTGGTGGGAGAGGAGGCCCAGAGTGAGGAGGTGGCCTCAGAGGGTATCTCCTTCCCTTGTCCGGGAGTGACAGAAGGGCTGCTGTCACCAGCCATGGGCGCCCCAGGCAGCAGGGACAGGTCGGTGAGGGTGGGCCACATCTCCATCCGCAGCAGATGCTCTGCCAGGGCCACCTGCTGCCTGTGCTCCTTGTGCCTTCCCATCTCCTGGTCCAGCTCCCGGAGGAAGCCTGTGTGGGCCAGGGTGGTGGAGGGGAGGAGGCTGAGGTGGCGCCCAGGGCCGACACCTGCCCTGGCCACATCATCCCCTATCTCTGGCCTGGGAGCTGCTTGGCCCTTGGGGTCCCCTCCCCAGACATCACTGCCATCATAGCTTCCCCAGGCCCCACAGGGCAGGAGAGGGCTCTGGCCAGCCTTAGGAAGCAGGTCACCTCGCTCTGAACAGAACGGGCCACTCAGTTCTGGGAACTCCTCGTCCTCATTGCCCGAGGCTCCGTCCTCCTCGTCCGAGGCCCAGCGCTCCAACACGGGCTGCCCATCCAGGTCTAGCAGCAGTGGCAGGGCTTCTGTTACCTGCCTCCTGCAGGGCAGAGCAGAGGCTACCTGGGAGGCCACCCTGTGGTGGAACCCGGGAGGCTGCCTGGAGGGTGGCAGTCCGTGAGCTAGGGGGTGGGGCCAAGTCAGCCCCAAAAGCTCAGGGCTGGCTGCTATGGGGTGATGAGACTGTAAGGGGAAAGGGGCAGCTGGAGCTATTGGGTCTTGGGGTGAGAAGGTGCCATGAGCAGGGACTCCAGGCGAGGGCTGGCAAAGAGCCTGTGTGGGGTTAGCAAGTGGGACTCAGCACCAGCTGTTCTCCCGTGCTGCAGTCCCCTCACCGGTAGCCGTCCTGCTTGGTGCAGCTGTTTCCAGTCAGGCTGAGGATGAGGAGGCTCTGGGGGAACTCATCTGCACACAGCAAGGACAGGCAGAGTGAGGTTCTCGGACTGCCTTCTGGCCCAAAGCCACAACCTCTCTGCACAGCCCCTGGACCCCCGAGGATGAAGTGTGTGCATGCGGGGGTGGGGGAGAGGGGTGCAGGGAGGGTGGGGCACGTTCCAAGGGTCAAAGCAAGGGTGCTCCTACCCAGCTTCAGGGTTTCTATCAGGTTCTCAGAAAGGTCCAGAAACTGGAGGTACGGGAGGTCGTGGAGGTTTTCCACCTGCCTGATTTGGTTTCCTGCCAGAGACAGAAAGCTGCAGGGAAGGAGGGATGCAGAGGGGGAGCTGAACCACAGACTGCTGGAGGGGCAGACCTGAACTGGCTCTTTGGGGTGGTGCTGGGGCTCCTTCCCCCCACCCCCTCTCCCTGCCTGAGCCCTGGTACCACGTACCGCAAGGAGGGGACACAAGTCAGGTTCTCAATTCGCTGGATCTTATTCTGCAGGAAGAAGCCAAGTGGGGAACCAAGCTGAGGTCAGCTGGGCAGGGGGCCCTTTTGTGGGACAAAGCCCCAAGCCCATGTCTGCTCTTGGGGCTGGAAGTCTGGAACCTTGGCAATGACCACCCCACTCATACAGCAGTTCATTACTGCCTTTGGAAAGATGATTTGCCTTCTCCAGGTGGATGGCTAAGGGCATAAACTTGGGATGGCTAAGCTTGATTAAAAGATACTCTTCTGGATGGCATGGTGGCTCATGCCTGTAATCCCAGCACTTTGGGAGGCGGAGGCGAGAGGATTGCCTGAGCCCAGGTGTTCAAGACCAACCAGAGCAACCTGGTGAGACTTCATCTCTACAATAGAAAGTAAAAATTAAAAAACTTAGCCGGGCATGGTGGCATGTGTCTGTAGTTCCAGCTACTTGGGAGGCTGAGGCAGAAGGATCGCCTGAGCCCAGCAGGTCGATGCTGTGGTGGCTGTGAGCATGCCACTGCACTCTAGCCTGGGCGACAGAGTGAGACTTCAACGCAAAAAATTAAAATAAAAGAATCTGAAGAGTGTAGAGGAATCTTCATAGTTTCTTCTTCAAGAAAGGAAATGGGCTGGAGCTATATAACATGAAAAATTTAGAGCGGATGCCAAGAAGAGCTTCCAGACCAAGAGAAGTACCTAAAGAACAGTACCTCAACAGCGTGTTCAGGATCAGTTTTGGAGGAATCCGCAGTCTTTTTTTTGTTTTTTGTTTTGAGTTCGAATTTCACTGTGTCGCTTAGGCTGGAGCGCAATGGCACGCTCATGGCCACTGCAGCCTCGACCTGCTGAGTTCAGGTGATCCTTCCTCCCAGCCTTCCAAGTAGATGGAACTACAGGCACCAGCCAGCACACCTGGCTAATTTATCTTAATTTATTGTAGAGACGAGGCCTTGCCAAGTTGCCCAGGCTGGTCTCGAACCCCTGGGCTCAGGCAATCCTCTCGCCTCCACCTCCCAAAGTGCTGGGATTACAGACATGAGCCACTGTGTCTGGCTGGAATCTGGCTTTCAGTGCAGGAGAATTCTGGATCTGGAAATGGTTTAAATGAAGGCCTACCTGCCCAAACGCCAGGAAATGGGCAAGGTGACCTGGGGGCTCCTTTCAGACTAGACAGGCTAGGTACACAGGGGCAGGGGGAGAGGAAGGACGGGGGTGAGAGGTTACCATTTGCAGGTAGAGGCTGTGAAGGTTCTGGAGGCCCTCCAAGTTCCTGATGGTGGTAATCCCCTCTCGGTCCAGGCGAACAGTCTGCAGGTCAGCAAGAGTATGAAACCTGGGAGAAGAGTCAGCAGGGGTGTGATAGAGCACCTTTTCTGTGGACTCTCTGCAGGGAAGACGGGCCAGAGGGAGAGGGAGGCATCCCAAGGAGGGGAGAATGGCTGAGTAATTTTGATCAGATGTCAGGAGCGGCTCCTTGACATCTTGAGGTGGCATCTGGATCATGAAGCTGGCTTGATTTGGAGACCTGGATCTCTGCCAGAAGAATCTAGTGAGAGAGGAGTGGTGGAAACTGGGGGATGCATCTTACGTTTCCTGGAGAGATTCGGGCATCAGAGGCGGCTTCCTCTGGCCAGACTGGGTGTGGAGGCAGGGATGAGGACAGAGATGGGGCAATCTCTACAGAAGACCCTTTGCCTCCCTTTTGGGTGGCCCATGGAGGGAAAATCACTTTCATCCACCCATTAATTCCACACACACACACAATTTTTTTGAGGTGGAGTCTCACTCTGTCGTCCAGGCTGGAGTGCAGTGGCATGCTCACAGCCATCGCAGCCTCCACCTGCTGGGCTCAGGTGATCTTTCCACCTCAGTCTTCCAAGTAGCTGGAAGACTGTATGGGCACGCGCCACCACACCAGGATAATTTTTTGATTTATGGTAGAGATAAATAAACTTGTCAAGTTGCCCAGGCTGGTCTTGAACCTGTGGGCTCAGGCAATCCTCTCACCTCGGCCTCCCAAAGTGCTGGAATTACCCATCACTATTAAAGAAGCAGGCCAGGCTGTGGCAGCTCAAGCCTATAATCCAAGCATTTTGGGAGGCTCAGGTGGGAGGAATGCTTGAGCCCAGAAATTCAAGAACCCGCCTGGGCAACATAGTGAGACCTAATCTCTACAAAATAAAAATTAGCCAGGTGAGGTGGTACACATTTGTAGTCACAGCTATTTGGGAGGCTGAGGCAGAAGGACCACTTGAACCCAGGAGATCAAGGCTGTGGTGAGCTGTGATCCTGCCACCACACTCCAGCCTGGGTATCAGAGGGTGAGACACTGACTCAAAAAAAAAAAAAGAAAAAGAAAAAGAAATACCTTTTTCCTACCCTGCCCATCTTCATGACTAACTCTTATTCACCTGTTGCCTCCTCCGGGAAGCATTCCCTGATTCCCCCTACTCTGGACTTGGTGTACAGCCCATGTACTTTCTTTTTCCTTTGTCCTTGCCTCTGCCACCCACTGGTCTCGAAATCCTGGGCTCAAGCAATCCTTCTGCCTTGGCCTCCTAGAGTGCTGGGATTACAGGTGTGAGCCACCACGCCTGGCCAGGGGAGAAGGCATTTCAAACAGAACAATTTTAACCCAGCCCTTCTCAAACTTTAATGTGCCCATGAATCCTTTGGAGGTCTTTAGAGTATAGATTCTGTATTAGTAGATCTGTGATAGCCTGAGATTTTTTTTTTTTTGTCAGTCTCAATCTGTCGCCTAGGCTGGAGTGGTGGCACACTCTCCGCCTCCACAGCCTCCACCTGCTGGGCTCAGGCAATCCTTCCACCTCAGCCTTCCAAGTAGCTGGAACTGCAGGCACCACGCCTGGCTAATTTTTTGATTTATTGTAGAGACGAGGTCTTGCCAAGTTGCCCAGGCTGTTCTCAAACCCCTGGACTCAGGCAATCTTCTTGTCTCCACCTTTCAAAGTGCTGGGATTACAGGTATGCGCCAACGCACTCAGCTGTCTGAGATTATTTTTAACAAACGCCCCAAGCTTCCAGGTGGTGCCAATGCTTCCCACACCCTCCCCCCTGCCCCTGAGGTGCTAAGGTGTGAGAAAGTGCACATTTGGGAAGAGTGGTCAGAAATAAAGCTTAAAATCTAGCAGAGGTCAACTCATGCTCAAGCATTTGGATTTTATTCTGGAGGTAACAGGGCCTCAAGGAAGTTTCTATCAGGGAGTGCCTCATCAGATTTGTCATTTTAAAGGATCACTTTGGCAATAGTATGGAGAGGCCAGACTGTAGACAAGGAGACCAATTAGAAGTTTGTGGAGGGATGGCAACAGCTTTATCTAAGGCAGTTGAGTGAGGATGGTGAAAAAGAAATAGAATTATTTTTTTAAGGAGGGAAAATCAGTCGGATACTACCACCGATTGGATGTGTGGAATAAGGGGAGTGGGGGGAGAGGGAGGGAGGGAGAGAGGGAGGGAGAGATACAGCCCAGGAGATTGGTCATCCTGAGTGTTTCGGTCTTCCTGTACCCCATCCTCGTCTCCACTCACATCCTTTCTGACAGTTCCTCATCCTCAGGGAAGGTCAAGTTTCGCTTAATGATAAGGGCTTCAGTGATGCTGACGCCCCCTTCCTCGGGACTCTGGACGGATTTCGCTGTGAAAAGATGAGTTCAACTGTTACATTTCCTCACTATTCGAGGCCCGACCCCACTGTTTTCCAACGGTTCTACTCACCATCCCCCCTCCCTACTCACCTCCAGGCATGATCTGAAATTAAGGCTGCTGGTCCGGGGCGGGAGAGGAACGAGGAGGAGCCTAGCAACTTGGGCAGCCCCTAAGGATGGCGGGCCCAGGACGGCAGGAGAGAGAAGCTCAGAGACTAGGGAGACAAGAGAAAGGTGCTGATTCAGAGCAAATTATTGGGGTGGGGTCGAAGACAACAACACATTGCGGTGGAGGGTCTGAAGTCTGAGGGGTGTAGAAGAGCTTTGCGGGCGGCAAACGGGCGTTGTGGAAAGGAATGGTGGAAAACGAGAGGTTTGTAGGCGTCAAACGTCGTTGCTAGGAGACCGGACGCCTGGTGGAGTGGGCGGGGTAAAGGTGGGCTCTGGCCTCCGGGCTCAGCGCATGCGGAGTACTGCTCCAGCCGGCGCGTCAGCCAGTTGTTTCCGGCCCCGGGGCCTACTGCCCCACAATCCTCCGCTCTTTCCGTCTCCGCTCGGCTTCTTCCGGTGAAGATGGCTGCGGCCGTGGCGGGGATGCTGCGAGGAGGAGGTCTCCTGCCCCAGGCGGGTAAGGAGCGACCCAAGTCCTCACGGCACGTCCTGCCGAGGCTCTCTAGTCCTAGTCTACTCTCCTCTACCCCATTACCTCTGACCTCGAGAGCTCCTGATGACCCCTGACCCCAGCTAGATCGCTGGTCTCCTTACCCTACCAGTTTCTTGTAACTCCAGACTCTGGTCATCACGGCAACAAGGTCCAGCTGTTGCCTGCCTCTAGATTTCTTTTGCTTGGATCCCTCCCCTCCCCTCCATAAACTTTGGATTATGCCTCTGTCTTAAGGTTTCAGCTTAAATGTCACCTTCTCAGGCCTTCCTCTGCAAAGTGTCCACTTCCTCGACACCCTCTGCAAAGCGGTTTTCTTCAGTTAAATCTGTATCATGTACCCTGTTTATTGGCCCCTTAGCCCCATCACATTCTGTAATTTTGCAGTTGTTTGCTCTTGTTTCCGCTGTTGGACTGTTAACTCCATAAGGGCAGAGCCATGTTCATTCATCGTAACCAGCAGGTGGCACGATATCTGATGTTAGGAGAGGTGTAGTAGATACTTGTTTAATGAATGAATTTGAGCACTTAATATAGGTTCAATAAATGTTTTACACGCATATCTCATTAGTACCCAGTGAGAAAGGCATTATCAATCCCTCTTTACAGATGTAGGAACTGAAGTTCAGACCAGTCGAGTGACTGGTCAAGTCAGCTAGTAAGTGGCAGGAGAGATATCAAAATCCAGTTTCATCTGACTCCACAGCTTGTGCTCTTAACAGTTTTTGTGGCAGCTGGCAATAACACCTCTTATCCTATCAAATCTCCATGCTTTCTGACTTTTAGAGCCACTTTCTAACAGAGCCTTTTCCTGAGGTCCCATCCCAGCCTTGGGAATTGCTGAAAGTGGGACACTCTAGTATTGGCCCTTGTGTTGAGAATAAAGGGACCATTTTGGCTCAGGACTTTTGAGTGCCTCCCTTGTTTTCTGAGGGGTACTCTCTAGCATTGCCTGTAAACAGGAAGAGAGGAAGGAAGAAAGATTTGTTTGAGGCAACTGTGAGGGTGGTGTAACTTTTTCCCCTCTTGCATGAAGTCATAGATGTCTTCAGAGCAGTGTTTTTCTTTTTTTTTTTTTGAGTTGGAGTCTCACTCTGTCGCCCAGACTGGAGTGCAGTGGCCGCTCCCGGCCACCGCAGCCTCGACCTGCTGTGCTCCGGCGATCCTTCCGCCTCAGCCTTCCAAGTAGCCGGAATTACAGGCATGTGCTACCACACCCGGCTGATTTTTTGATTTATTGTAGAGATGAGGTCTCGCTGCCCAGGCGGGTCTCGAGCCCACGGGCTCAGGCAATCCACTCACCTCAGCCTCCCAAAGGCGCAGGATTACAGGCTGAGCCACCGAGCCCGGCTTCAGAGCAGTGTTTTTCAAAGTTTAGTATGCATCATCACCAGGAGGGCTTATTAAAAAAAAACACTTTGCTGGGCCCCACCCAGAGTTTCTGATTTAGTAGGTCTAGGCAGGGCCTGATAATTTGTATTTCTAACAAGTTTCCAGATCATGCTGTTATTGCTAGTTGGGTGGGGAAAGGGCATACTTCAAGAGCCACTGGCTTAGACTAAGGATTGGTGTATTATGGCAGGACTGGTTTCTGTTTTATAAATAAAGTTTTATTGGTATGTGACCTCACTGTTTTCTTTTTTTTTTGAGTTGGAGTCTCACTCTGTCGCCCAGACTGGAGTGCAGTGG